TGATACGAATATCAAGCAATGGATTAACCTGTTTGTTGGCTATATCAGGTAGAACGCAACTAGCAAAATCAAGAGATTATATTGATGAAAAGTTCTTAGCAATTCAGCTTTGTCTTTAGGTGAGGTGAAAAAATCTGAACCATACAAGAGAGGTGAAACAACAATATTGCCTATATTATAGATACTCTTAAAGATTCTGATATTGATTTTTTGCATAAATGTAATGAATGAAAACATTTATGCAAAACCCAAACACGTGCTCTATATTAAAGTGGGTGACATAATGCTAATATTTTAAATAAATGCTTTGATAACAGAAGGCAGGCAAAATTTTATTTAATAAGTTTATATTTAACTAAAATTTTAATCAATAACTTTTTGTAAAAAATCAATTAAACAACTTATCATTTTCTCTCTCCCAAACTCTAAAGCAAACATGACTTTATACTTTCATCACAAGCTGGATGAGTGTTGTTTATACTGGAAGTTTTAAATATTTTATTTACAGGAGTGTTTCATGTGAAGAGGGCAAGTGCATCCAATTTATCACAAGCCCCATACATATACAGCGTGAAAAATAATGGCTAGTCAACGGCCAATGTGAAATGACAAAAATTGTTATTTTAACCTTCCAAAATGATTTCTTTCTGGTTGAAAAAAAATTAGAGCTTTAAAAATTTTTTGAAAAATAATCAGGATGTAATCGGTATACTATATACTAAAATTTTATTTGTTAAATGTTTTTCCATGGTGCTCTTTTATAAAACAATGAAGACTTCTGCAAGCACCTACACTACAAAAAAAACATTTTTGAAAAAACATTTTAAATAGTATTATTGTTTACAATAATACTATTGCTTTGTTGATGAACATTATGCAGGCTTGGTCGGGAAGCGGGAGCGATCGCTCTCGATTGCTGACCACATAAATAATACTTAGTTGCGAAAAGCTGGCCAGATTTTTTAGTCGTTTTAAGAACATTTTAAAAAAGCAAAAAAAAAATAAGCGACCAAGACTTAGTATTTAAAGTAGTATTTAATAATTAGTATTTAAAGTATTTAAAGTAGAAAAAAGTATAACGAGTTTTAAGAATAGCAACTTAAGCGAAAATAATTAGAGTAAGTAAACCAATATCTAGAAACTTTTTTTTATATCTAATTATTTGCTATATATATTTGTGTTCTGTCGTGACCTCAGGCGCGATGCTTGTTCATCCGCGAGTTACTTTGTATGCGTTGTTTGTGTTTAGTAACCAGAAACTTCTTATATGTTTGTTACATAATTAGTTTTATTAACTTTAACGATTATAACTTCATTGAAAACGCAATTATTTTTATAAGTCTTTGTTTAAATCATAAAAATTGCTTTAAAAGATACAAACAAATACACAAAATTACATTTACATAAAGAATAAAATCTCTTTTAAAATAAAAAATAAGAATATACTAATAAAATCTATGATTTAGAACAAATATTTAAAATTTTAACAATTTAATTAATATATATTTAAAACATTTATTTTCGTAAACAAATAATGTATATTCTAAAACAATGCTAGAAGGTCTCAAAACATAACAAAAACATTATAACAGAATACTCTAGAACTTTATTTCGCTTAATCAGCATATTTTTTGAACCAATAGAATTAGTTTGTTCGTTAATTTGGCCGGTTTTTAGTGTTCGCAAATATTCTTTTTATTCTTTCACACAAAGATGTTTTGAGAACAATTAAGTTTTTTATGTTTCCATGTATGTCCGTAAAACAAAATTTTTTTTTTTCGTACATAAACTTAAATATTCTCAAAAGGACTTAAAAACCTGGCCAATTTTACGCAACTAAATATAATTTCCGTGGTCAGTATTCGAGAGCATTCGCTCCCGCTTCCCGACTAAGCCTGATTATGTGACATAAACTATTTTTTACTTTTTTTTTTTTTTTGCTTTATTTACTTAAACTAGCTTCATTTTACTGGTGTTGAAAATCCTTTTTTCATAAATGATAAATGTTCTTATTTTGTATTTAATGCATTATTTTATTAATAATATAATACATAATAATTGCTGTATTTATTGCATAACAAAGAACATCTTTTTTTTTTCTTTAACTCTTTTTCTTATAAGTTTTTATTGCAAATTGCAATGAAGGAGAATGAAGAGAAATTTATAGTTACTAATTGTGCTTTTTTTTCTGTAATAGGAACTTTAAAACTATATATATTTTATAAAAATCTTATCTTATGTAACATTAATAATTTTTATAGAAGTGTTTCCAGAGTGCTGCTTTAAAAATGATATCTTTATTGACATACTTTATAAATAAAAAGTTTTTACAACGTAGTTTCATTAAGCAGTATTTCATATTTTTCCAAAAATTTTATTTGATTGTTTTTTTTAATTTTGAAAATAAAATAAATTCAAACAATGATAAAAAAAAAAAAAAATTTAAAACAATCGAAGCTGTATCCTTTAATTTATTTTAAACTTGAACATATATATAATAGTATACATAACGTATATAATAATATGTATATATAAAAATGTATACATAATAATAATGAAAATGCATCATAAATGCATAAAGTGAATATGATGTTTAATATCAAATTGTATTTGAAAATAATTGGTACTTAATTATAATAATTGGTACTTAATTATACTTAATACACCTTAATTAAAACAAATTTGCTAAACTAAATGGTTTTACGCTATTTTTAAAGCTATTTTTATATAATATATAATTTTTAAACTCAATGGAGTTTTATGCTAAAAATGCACACAATTCAATAGGTTATTATATCATAATACCATTTCAAATATCTTTTCAGTGCAAAGTTGTAACAGCTATTATGCAAAATACTATTAATTAAATAACTAGCAGTAATACAGGTTGTTAGTAAAAAAAATTTAAAAAAAAAAACGCATATAGAAAAGTCTAGAAACTACTTTAAAATAGAGAAGCCTAGAAAATGATGCTACTATTACTACTATTAAATTAGCGTATTAATATTATCAGATTTAAATTGTGCAAAAATATATGAATATAAAAATATTTGTGGATTTTCTTCAGAAGATAAAAAAAAAAGTAAAAATTGGTAAAAGGCCTATAATTAGATAAAAAAGTGAAAGCCCTAGCAGACTATAAGAGCATGATATATTACTAGCAGGGGCTATTCTAGACCGTTTTCAACAGCATCAACCATATTTGAGTGTCAATATGAGTGCCGCCCAAATTAAAATTCGAGGACCATTTTTTTTTTTTTTTTACATTTTTCACAACAAATTTTTTTTCCGCAAAATAAAGCTGATTTTTCGTTAAATTTCTCCATGGTGGGAGGGGTACTGCCACCCAAATTTTTTTTCTAGAATAGCCCCTGGCAGGGTCGATCAATTTTTCATCAAATCTTTTGAAAATTGGGCATCTTTAAATCATCCTTAATAAGATTAAAAGTAAAAGCATGAAGCAGACTTTTTGTCACTTAATTTTTTAGAAATTTCTGACAATTTTTTTTTTACACCTTATTGAGATATTTTGATTGTGTACCTCATTGTTAACCTTTTATCCTATCTTGCTGTTGATTATTGTATATTTACAATAAATTTCACATTTAATCATTTTTCATAATGAATTATAAATCTTCCTTTTTTATTCATATTTTATTCCGATATAGTCTTTCATAATTTTTTCAGTTAACTTAATCTGATTGTGCTTGGGATAACATTAAAAAATCAAAATTTTCAAGAAATTTTTAAATAAATATTGCTAAACTATTTAATACTCCTTTCTTTAAATTCCTTTGAAACTTTTGCATTCTACGTTTTACTATTTTACATTCTTCCAAAACTAAATTTGAATTTTTAATTTTCAATTCATATTTAATAAAAAATCAAAATTGTATTTAATAAAAAATGATAATAAATGAAAAGTCTTTTAATTTAAAAAAATTAAATAATCTGTTTCTTTAACCAAAAAACCCAAAATTAATTTATACAAGTGTATAATTATATTATAATGGAGTACTAAAATTTACTAATAACACAATTGATCTTTCATCAATATAAGTATCTAAGATAAATTCAGTCACATTTATAATGTGCTTGGGTAATACAAAAGCACTGTGCTTTTCTCTAAGCCACAGAAATCTCAAAACAATGCCTGTGATCTATTAAAAATAGACTAACTAAATACTTTTGATATAAAATGTAATTCATATAAAATATGTCTTTTAATTTAGCAGCAATATACATTTGAAGTTGTTTGGCAGTACAAGACAACTATTCTGCTTAAAAGACAACTGGAATTACTAAAAAGTATGCAACAGTCACTAAACAACTAATTAAGACACTTTTAATAGTTGGCATCAAAAAAAAAAAAAAAATGTGTGTATTAATAAATATAAATTTTGAATGTGGCTATTTTAAGCAAAACCTTGAAAAAGCTTTGTTTATACACAACATTGCAAATAAACCTTTTTGCAATTGAATTAGCATATGAAGCTCATAACTAACAGAATAAAAAGTAGACTTACACAGCCCTCAGAATTAGGGTCAGCATTTAGCAATGCCAACCTATTTACCAAAATAAAAGTATTTAAGGTCGGCAAAAAATTGCAGACCTTGTATCTATGTTTTATGATAACCCTTTGTATTCAATTTTTTTTTGTGCCGACCTGTTGCTGACCTCAAGCAAATTAAGGTCGGCAAATTATTTGCCAACCTTTTTTTTCTAATTATGAGGGCTGTTTATAACTATATATGCTAATGAATAAAAATAAGTCTTGAATGCTAATATTTTACTAATTTTAATTTTGGGCACATTTTTTTATTTTAATAACATACCATTTTGAAAAAAAAAACATTAATAATGAATTACTCAATATATTACCAAGAAGTCACTGTATAGTAAGCAAAATCAAAAATAAATATTTCTAATATAGATCAAAAAAAGTATAACAAAGTGAAGGGCTTTGACAAATAACAAGCCATATAAAATGCAAACAAAC